AGGGAAGTCGCTGGATCACTTACTTGGAAGTCTCAGCAACCAAGCAGTGTGATTAACCACTCGCAGTGCTGTGCGTGGTCACCAGTGGGCCTGGCTTCTCCCGAAGCAGGGCCCTAACTTTGGCTGTTGTGCCTCCCTCAGCTCCTGGCTGCAGAGCCTCGCTGGTGGTTGGGGTGCATGTCCAGGTTGAATTGTGTAGGTGCTGCTGTCGTACTCAGCCTGGAATCCATTAATGCTTCACACGCCTTCCCAGGGCCTGGGAGCTACCAGACATGGCAGTCACAAGAAGGTCAGGCGCACGCTGGGGCCACTTGCTGATAGCAACACTCCTTTGCCATCTCCTTTTGCTCCTAAGAGTAATCAGGGTGATTGGAACTTGAAAGATGAGAGGGTGACCTGTGTATGTGTGTGGTTCGGGTGTGGTTCCTCCTGACATGGTTTCCCTCTGGGACTCTGTTGATCATGTTGTCCCCAGTGCATTCTTTTGCCCTTTAATGAAGTCACCGGGGACACAGCAAACTGCTCCAGAGGCACAGGCCTGGCCCCAGCCCCTCTAAGCTTCCTGTCTCACTGTGTCACTTACCTCATAATACCGTCCTGCAACACGAGCCTGGCCTCTGGAGTGTTTGAGGCCCTCAGAATGGAGCTAAGTAAACTTATTTTACAAACAAGCTTCCCAGCCTCAGGGTTTTTGTTACTGCAGCAGACAACATGTTAATACAAATACCAGCCCTGTTTTTCACCATTCTCTCTTCCTAGAGCAGAGATGGCCCATCATTCAGAGACGAGTACCCAAACTGCCACCCCAGACCCACTTGTCTACTGCAAAGTGCCAGCCCCACAATCAAACCTGAGCACTGAGGAAAAAACAACTCACATGTGAACATCTTTTGTCATAAAAGAAAATACACATGCCATGGGTTCGCCACCAGGGCTCCAGAGCTTAAACTCCCAAGTCATCTGCCCTGGGTCAACTCTGCCAGGGGCTGAGGTCCCCAGACACACCTGCTTTCTTACAGGCTTTCATAAGCACCGTGGGCAAGTGGACCGCTGTCTCCACAGTACCGGGCTTTCCAATGATTTGCCTGTTAGATTTTGTTTCTTCCACTGTTGGTAAAAAGTGTGACTGCTCCCTGCCTGAGGTGACTCCAGCTTACCAGTGGTCCACATGGGTGCAGCTACACTCCCTGCCCCTGCCGCAGCCCCTGAGCTCCCAGCTGCCTCCCAAGCCCATCCCTCCTCCCCCTCTATCCTTTTTGCCACACCCAAGTCCCCCGAGACCTTCAGGAGCTCCAGGTCAGCGCTTACCATGTGGGTGTCAGGTGGGGGGAGGTCCCAGCGACTGGAAAGCTGATTATTGTTCTTGGTCCTGTTCTTCTCACCACTAACATGCACAGACTGATAGTTGACAGGTATTTATCAGGCTTCATAGATTGTCAAAAACCTGAAGCCTGGTGGCCTGGGTCCCACCCTCTTCCACCAGCATCATCACTGACCAGTCCTGTGACCCTGGTCTTCTTTGTGGGGCAGCATGCAGGCTGGCCCTGGACAGTGTTTACCATTATCACAATCATCCTGGCACATAGGAGGGACTTTTTGAGGGCAGCCTAGGTGTCTTGTGAGTGTTTGAAATAATCACACGAACACCAGTTAAGAAGCCATGTGCCTCACTGAACCCTCGGCGGTCACATGGTGTCTTCTGTCCATCCCCAGGGAGGCTGGAGGGTAGAGGCCAGGTGCCAAGAGTGGAATCCGCACTGCAAGATGTCCATGTGCGTCTCTGTCCAGCAGGCCACAGTGGGCGGCATTGCCTGTGCCCCAGGCACCCTGTCTTCAGTGCTTTTGTCCCCTCCTTTGTCGCTGTATGCCATATGTTGAGTTTATTTGCAAAGGGATTGGTTTTGAAAATCAAGGGAGGAGACAGCTGAGTGGTGATTGTGGTCATTCTCCATAATGCACTGATAAATTACACACCTAGCCCTGCAGGGAAAGTCTACGAAAATTGAACCAGTCGTGTAACCAAGGGGAGTATTTCATATGACTTAGCAAAGCAAATATTGACCACAGGCAGCAGAGCAGCAGTCATGCTTTCTCGAAAACACACCTTACTCAGCTGTGTGGAGAGGAGAGGGGAGGAGGCTGAAAAGGAAGGGGGGGGGAGAAAGAGGGGGAGTGGCGGGTTTATGTTTTGTTACTGAGATGCAAGTAGAGCAAACAGATGCAAAGACAGCAAGAAAACTTGTCAGACCACCTTGAGCAGATAAAAGAAATGTCAGAGCATTCAGAGCTGCCGAGGATGGCTCCTGGGTGTCTTGGGACTATTGTTAAGGACCATGTCATCATTGGAAAGCAAGTGTTTTGTTACTGGCGGTAAAGTAATGAAGCATCTTAGCCATCGCTGAAGTCTCGGATTCAGTGAAATCCTTTAAGTGGCAGATCCAGTTTCAGACCTAAGCAGCTTAGCCCGAGATTTCTCCCACATACGCCACACTCCTGGCTTCTGTTATCTTTCTGGAGAGACATTCACAGGGTGCACACGGGTTTACAAATCGAGTTTCAGGACAGAGCTTGGTCATGAGATGTTGTGTCTTTACTGAAGGCTTTGGATCATATTTCAAGTGGTGTCTTCTTCAGCTCCCAAGGCCTCAGGACTGGAACCAAGTGAGAGACCAGCAGGGTGTCAGACAAATAGGGATTAAAAGGTTAGTGATAAAGGCTTGATCAGAGGACACTATGTAAACATGTCCAGGTGGAGCAGGGAGCAAGAGTGGTTTACCCACCTCTGGCCAGACTTCTAGCTGTCCTTTGCTGAACAGCCCAGGGGCAGCATCTTCACAAGGAGCTGCTCAGAATGCTTTGCAAGCACATGGTCTGAAAAGAAAAGGAGAAAGATGAGCAATCTGAATACTTGCTTCCTCCTGTGTCCTTCAGGGGAGAGGGACACAGGAGACCACTCCAGGGCAGTGTCTTCCGTGGAGGGAGATGGAGGCTGCCGGACAAGAGGTCCCTGCTTAATACCCATGACCTTGAGTAATGACCTCATTACACAGACATTTTCCATTTTGAGGTTTTCCTTCATTTCTGCCCATCCAGGATCAGTGATCTGGATACCTGTGGTCAGTGGGAGGTTGGTTGTTTTTACTCCAAAACCAGCACAATCATCTTGGGTCAAGAATCTCTTTTCTCAGTTTGCATTTAGTTGAATAATCCCATAGCAGTTTTTACTATGAGGGTGTAGTAATCAGCTTTCCAGTCGCTGGGACCTCCCCCCACCTGACACCCACAGTGTAAAGGAGAGGAGGGTTCATGTGGCTCTGGTCAGTGGGTTCAGTCGTGAGTGGCTTTTTCAGGGCAGGAGTATGATGTTGGAAGGGCATGGCAGAGCAAAGCTGCTTAGTTTGTGTTGGGTGGGAAGGAGAGCAGGGGTACCATGCCAGAGAGGGAGGGGCAGGGCCCAGATGCAGTACCCAAGGCCATACCTCCACGAACAATCGGACACACCCAGGATTGTGCTTTACTATGTGGCTAGGCATCCCTTAATCCAATCGAGTTGATAGTTGAGGCTTAATGGCCCTAAAGGGAAATCTGTGTTCACACATGGAGGCTTTGGCTTCTCGTGCCTAGGTTTTCTATTTAAAGTTGATTCAATCATCTGAAGGTTTTGGCCACATGAAGCTAAATACCTGAATGTCACTGAATGAGCAGTTTCCATGAGTCAATGTAACTCTGGATCTAACTTTTTCTTTTCAAACGATTTCATCAACCATGGTTTCTTTATAAAGTCATGTAGTTGTCTGTTAAAAAAAGAGACAATGGCCTCCCCCCGAGTAGCATCCAGTTGGTGCATTTTGTTCAGTTTGCACATGTTTGCATAGCTTTTCATGCATTTTCTAGCTAAAGTCTTTTCTGTTATCACAGTAGTGACTATATATTAATAGGTCCCACAAAAAGACCCAGCTGTGACTGGCGCAGCCCCCCAATGAGACAGGAGACGCTCTTGTGGGCGACAATTAACTGCTGCTTTATTTACGCGGGCTCTGGTTTATATATTTGGCCATGACCAATCACAGGCTGCCACGAGGAAGCAGGGCGGGAATGGGACGCAGGCTCTGGCTACTATATCCAGCTGTGGCCAATCAGGAGTTGCCACAGAGTATGGAGTGAGCACGAAGTGCGCACGGGTTGGCTAATTTAAAGAGGGACGTAGCGCATTGCGGAAGCTGGCGTGGTCCTTAGTCCCGGGTGGGGTATGGTATGTTGAGCGCCTGTGCCCAACACAGCTGTGTGTTCCTCCAGGCAGGAGGAATCTCAGGGGCTGTGCCAGGCATTTGGTCCTAACTCCATTTGTTTGCATTACTTTACTCAGAATATCAGGCTGTGATAGCATGGGGTCAACTTTGGACAACCTAAATTGCTTAAGCAAAAGATAAACTTAGTCCAAGTATTGCTTTAGTCCTGGGAAACAGATATACAGCATCTTCTTACGGTTACTTGTCATTGAAAACTTTATCCTGTTCTGTAACTGTCACATGATACTCAAAGCCAGCTACTTGGTTAAGAAATGAGGTTTCTTTGAGGGGTTTTGAAGGCTGGAAGCCCCCACAGCATGGTGCTGGCTCTGATGAAGACACCTTGGTCATGCCAAGTGCAGGAGCATGGATGGGCAGAGGGGGGCACGGAAGCCTGAGGCTGGGAGGGCATGGCCAGGCTGCTCCTCACACTGACCACTTTGAGAAGGAACCAGCCCCACAGAACAGCATTCCTTAGAGGCCCCAGCCCCAATGCTGTCCCAGGGCTCAGCTCTTAGAGGCTCCACCACTGGACATCATCACCTGCTGGAGACTCAGCCTCCAGCTGAGAACCTAGAACCTTCCCACATCCTGCCACAGCTGGAGGTCTGGCCAGGAAGTGTGTGGTGGTCTGCACCAAGGTGTGTCCTGTGTCTGCCGGTTCTGTCCAGTGCCAGTGCTACTTTGGCTCAGTCCCCGTCTGTCTTGCAGGGCTGGGGGAGGGCTCTGCCCTCTTGCACCCTGACAGCAGATCCCACCCTCGGTCTTTGGAGAAGAGCACCTGGCGAGCCTTCCGGGAGTCACAGTGCCACCACATGCTCAAGCATCTTCACAATGGTGCACGGATCACTGTGCAGATGCCACCGACCATCGAGGGACACTGGGTTTCTACTGGGTGAGCTGGGCTGGTTGTGGGGGCGGGAGGGGCCAGGAGCACACACTGTCCCTGTGCTCACCGCTGAGACCCTCTTGGTGGATGCAGGAGGGCTTAGGTGTTATCCAAACGCTGATGAGGAGCCAGGCTGCTGTTTGAAATCAGGGTTGGTTGAGAAAATCCTGGGTCCCGAGCAATCCTACCTGAAGCAGAGGGCATATTGGGCCCTGCAGGCCACTGGCAGGAGTGAATAGGTCCTTGTTCACTGGACTCTGGGACCACGTGTGTATGGAAAGAAATCATTAGCAAGTGAAATGAAGCGTCTGTGTTTCACATCCCTGAAACACGACTTGCGAGCTTCTTATGCTCTCCATATTCTAGCCATATTCTGGTAATTTAATATACAGCTTCAGGGCTCTGAGAGAAGCTGAGAGCCGCCGTGCTAGCCAGGGCAAAGTTCTTAGATTCTTTTCCATGCCATGGAGCTGAGACTTATCCCAGAGTGAGCTCTGGCTTATCTGTCATTAGAGCTTTTAAAAATAGCCTGGAGGCCGATTTGTGATTTCTTTCCCAGCTTTACTGATCGCTCTCCCCTGGTGCACTATTGCTGGGGTATGGGATAGCAGCCTCCAGGTACCTGGGGAGAGATCAGGTGTGTATGGAGAAAGATGATGGAGACCCGATTTTTCCCCCTAGAAGCAGGCTGTCTTAAAATAACTGCATGACAGAATATTTGCATCAAAAGCTTCACGTGAAATCGTAACTCTGAAATGGTTACCTGCCTGGTGCCTGCTGTGTGTGGCAGTCCTCCGCATACCCAGATATGGCCCCTGTCTTCAGGGAGGATGTACTGTGAAGGGTGGGGGACACAGATGTAAAGAGCCTTTCTTTGGGGTCAGGGTGAGTTCCAGAAAGCCTAGTGGAGAGGGGAGCCCTAGAACCAAGATATCCTTGGTATGGGGAGAACTTCCTGGGAGGAGCTAGCATAGGGGGCCAGAACCAGACTGGACTGGGGACCCCAACACAGCTCTGCTGCCAGCTGAGGTGCAAGCAAGCCAAGGGAGCAGCCTGCAGCCTTTTTCTTTTTCTTTTTTTGTGAGACTGTTGCCCCAGGATGGCTTTGAACTCCTAGGCTCAAGTGATCCTCTTGCCTCAGCCTCCTGAGTAGCTGGTACAGTTCTACAGATGTGTGGACCACCCCAGTTCACGGGTCTGGTGCACTTCCTGCAAGGGCAGTGTTTAAAGCACCGTCTGGCTCCACCGTGGGCGTGAAGAAAGGGGCTGGGAATGTCCACTGACTGCTGCAGCGATGGCAGAGGCAGGAGAGCCCTGAGTGGCAGGGCCTGACGTGCACTGTGGGCCGGAAGCAGAAGCTCAGAAATAAAAGCTGGGCCTTTCCCGTTCAGACCTGGTGACCTTGGCCACAGGTCACCCTGAGCTTTTGCCCTTTCCCAAGTCTGGGTGTCCAACCACTTCCTGGCTCCAGTGACCTGTGCTCGGAGAATGCTCCCTGCATGTTTGCGGGGAGACATCACTGTCCCAGGTGGCAATGAGAAGCCTTCGAGTTCGGGATTTCAGCCCAGCCCAGAGCCCGGTCAGTCAGAGACAGGAGCAAGGGTCAAAGTGCAGCCCCAGAGAGCCGAGGTGGGGTTGGACCGGGGAGCAGGGTCTAAAGGGCTGCAAAGCCTCTGTCCAGTGGCCTGGGAGTCTGCTGCCTCCCTGCTGGGGGCAGAGCTGGGGTGCAGCTGTAATGACAGCTAGAGCAGTGGGAGTTAAAACCCAAGGTGAAGCCACAGTGATTCTTGTCCTGAAGCCCCATCCTGGATTTTCCTGGTGTGGGATCCCAGTGTTCGTCTCATGCAGTGGCAGAGGTCTTTGCTGGACGTCCTCCGCCAGCACGAGCCTCAGGACCCCCGTCGCTGTTGTACATTAGCTTTATTGTACCCATCACTTCCTTTTCCTGCCAGAGATAAAAAAGGGGGCAAAGCTCGTGGCCACAAGGGAACATGGATGTCTCACGCCTGCTTCTTTGGGAGAGACACCAAACAGGCCAGTGGCCCAGTCAGCTGGTTTTGACCTGGCAGCACAGTGCTCCTGGAATGGGCCCGAGCGACCCTCCCCTCATCCAGAAAGAAAGAAAGAAGTTCCTTGATGCAGTGGGCCACCACTGAGCCTGGGGCTGGCAGCATAGTGTGGTGGGGAGCAGTCTCGGAGCTGGTCTGCCTGGGTGCGGCTCGAGCTTTGGTCCTCACTGATCTTATGATCTTGGGCACATTCCCTCGTGCGACCCTCGGCACTGTGCCGCAGAATGCAGGCGCCTATCCCACAGGGCTCCTAGGGGATTCGCTGTGGCTCGCACCCCAGCTCCTCATAGGCACCCTGGGCTCACTGAGGCCTCTTCCCCGCCATGCCTCCAGCTGTGAAGTGCGCTCCGGGCCAGAGTTCATCACGCGGTCGTACCGCTTCTACCCCAACAACACCTTCAAGGCCTACCAGTTCTACTATGGCAGCAACCGCTGCACTGACCCGACCTACACACTCATCGTCCGGGGCAAGATCCGCCTGCGCCAGGCCTCCTGGATCATTCGCGGGGGCACCGAGGCTGACTACCAGCTGCACGGCGTGCAGGTCATCTGCCACACGGACACGGTGGCCGAGCAGCTCAGCCAGCTGGTGAACCACACGTGCCCTGGCTTTGTGGCCAGGGGTCCCTGGGTACAGGACGCAGCCTACGACCTGTGGCGGGCTGAGGGCGGCTGCGAGTGCACCCAGGCCCTACGCTTTGCCATGCATGAGCTGCAACTGCTCCGCGTGGAAAAGCACTACCTGCACCGCCTGGACCATCTGGTGGAGGAGCTGTTCCTCGGCGACATTCACACAGATGCCAGCCAGAGGAGGTTCTACCGGCCATCCAGCTACCAGCCGCCCCTGCAGAGCGCCCAGGTGAGTGGGCTCGGCGGCTGTTGAAGGGGGAGGCTGATAGCTGGAGCAGATACGGGAGGCTGAGGGTCACCGAGTAGGCTGGGACCCTGGTTCGTTTGTCACTGGAGACCTCGGGTCCTGGAGAATCTTGTAGCACTGATGTCCCAGAAACTCAGTGCTGCTCCTAAAAGGTATGAAGGAAACGTGGTGATGCCACAGCCACACTTGGAAAAGACCCCAGAGGCCCTCACTATGGAGGAAGGGGAGGGGACACCAGGGAAAGGCCTGCAGAAGGCTTTGGCTGTCAGGGGACCTGTCAGCCCATTCCTGCTGGCCCCCTTCCTTGTGCCTCCTGAGATTGATGTCACCAGGATGCCCTTGAGCAGAGGTGGTAGCCTCGGGAGTCCTCCATTGTCAGGCAATACACAGGTTTCACTGCCCAAACCCCAAGCCACATCTCCTCCCCACCGGAGCCCAGGTTCTTTCCATTCTGCTAAGTGATGTGTGAGGTCACTGGTGTAAGTTCCCTGTGAGCAGAGGGCGGCTCAGGACTGCAGGAAGCAGCTGGAACCTGCTCACACCATTTCCCTAGGGATACGGTTGTAGCTACCTGTGGAGCTCACCACGCCTTTCCTTCTGCGTGTTCAGTGTTAAGTCGGGGAGGAACACGGTGGCCTGTGACCTTGGGCTGGGGGAGCAGGCAGACCTGGCCATGCGGGGCAGGCGATTTTCCTGGGAGTGTCCCTTGGCCATCAGTCAACATGGGGGTCCTCAACACAGTTGCCTCGATGCAGAGCCCTATTGGGCTTCATTTACTGATCTTTTCATTTTTTTAAAAATCTGTTTTCATAGCAGTCCTGAGCCCATCGAGATAGGTCTGAGAACTTCCTCTCAAAGACTGCTCACTGTTACCTTTTTTTTCTCTGTTACTGCAAGCACATGGATGAAAGTGGCCTTTATTGTAACAGGGAAAGATCTGCTGAGGGAACCACGTGACAGAGGCTGCTTCCTCTGGGCACATCTTGTCTGGGTCAGGGCTGTGCTCCCTGTCCTGGCGCTGGGAGGATTTGTACTGCCACTCTGGGTTCTCCCTGCAGAGAAGGAGCCAGGTGCCTGAGTCTTGCTTTGGGAGTAGCCGGTCCACTGAGAGACACAGGTAGCATTGGAGTCCCTGTCCTCAAGTGGTGGATAAGTAATGACCCCAAAGTGCTGCCTGGCGTCACAGGAGAAGCTGGTTACCAGGCTGCTACCTAGCCAGGCGTGGTGCTGGCTTAGGTCCCTAGGTCTCTGGGGAAAGTGGAAAAAGTCGTGCATGGGATTCCAGGTACCCTCTGGGGCTCTGCAATCGGGGGCAGTGTCCAGAGACAGCACTGAGGCCACAGCTGGGCGCCCCTCTCAGGACTGTGGTGAAGACGTGGGAGGAGGTGGTGTTGCACCTAGCATGGCATCTCTGAGGATAACAGCAGATCCCAGTGGTGCAAGGTGTGGCTGTCATGAGTGAAAGTGGCCTCGAGCTACCTGATAACTTCACCTTAACCAAGAACCCCTGCTACCTGTCCCCCACCTGGACACCTGCTAGCAGGCTGCACCTTCCTCCTGCCCCATGTCCCTCCAGCAGGTCATCCTGGCCTATGTCTGACCTTCGCAGTGTCTGCGCCGTGCAGGATCAGGAGCCTTTGCTCACTAGCACTTGGGCTCCTGAAGGTCTTAAGCCTTTTTAGCACTGAAGCAAACGTGAATTAACCATAGCCACTTCTCCTGCCTGTCTCCACGCCCCACTCACTGCTGTAACCCAGTCTGGGCTCCAGCACCCACGGATCACAGGACCCTGCTGGGCTCAGCACCCACCTCATTCACCTGGGACAAGGACTCTTCCTGTTGGCCAGAGTCCCTCTGCCCCCAGCCCATCTCTTGGGAGTGACACACTCACAACTCTTGCAGGGAGATGTCTTGGAAGCAAGTCTTAATCCTTGGTCTGGGAGTTGAAGGTGACAGTTGTAGCAATGACCTTCCAATTATTTTATGAACAAAAAGTTGGAGGCTATTTTGTTAGTAAATCTGGGGGTAAAACTCAAGGCTTTACACTTGCTGTGCAAGTGCTTACCCTGGAGCTGCACTGCACCCCAACTTGTCTTTCATTCTGTCTGTCTTATTTATTTCTTCTGCATAAATTGGCAAGCATAGGGTTTTGGAAATGGATCCAGCCCTGGGACCCAGTTCTGCTGTGATTAGCTGTGCCATTGGTAGCTGTTTAACCTTAAGGAGTCTTGGTTTTTCTTTAAGGAGTCTTTCCTTAAGGAGTCTCCAGTTCCAGTGCACCCAGCCATGCCAGGGTGCAGACCCTGGCATGGCTGAGCCCTGTGGCATGTACCTGTAGCCCTGTGCTGGGTCGCCATGGCCCCTGGCACGGGATGGAAAGTGACAAAGAGCAGCTTCGGGGATCCCGGGGCTGTGGGGAGGGCAGAGCCGCCTCCTTTGAGCTCCACGCCTGGACCTAATTGCTGGTCCATAGAGACCTGGCTGAAAATTAGTTTAAATGCTAAATTGAGTTTGAAACCACTAGCCTTGGGCCTCTGTGGAAACAGGATACCATGTAAAAATAGAAACTTCAGGTCAGCTTGTTGTTTTAAGCTTTATGCTGCTTTGCCACAAGGTTCCAAGTCCTTTGGCAAATAAATTACATTTGCAGAGAATCAGGTAAGTGTTCGGGGAGTTCCTTCAGAGGAAATGGCCACTTTTCATTAACAAAAATCAAGGCGGCCGAAAGAAAATGCTTTGCCCAAGTGGACTAACCCTCTGCCAGGGGTCGCCTGAGCCCTGCAGCTAAAGGGTGAGTGACCATGTTCATTTGCATAGCGATGGAATCAGATGGCAGTGACATCAAATGATTTCCACGCTCTTCAGCTGACCAAAAAGCCTCGGAATGTGACCTGCAAGCAAGTGCAGTTGGTCTTCCTCCAAAATCCTGTTCTGATTCCATCTAAGGGTTGTAAATCAGAGGATTATCTGAAAACCAGTCAGTTTTCCCCAAGCTGCACATCTTACATCCTCTGTCCCAGCAAACCTGCAGCCCCCTGAAGATCCAACAGTGAGGAGAAGGAGCACTAACCCTGAGGCTCTGGTCCCACAGGCACTTCTCGTGGCTTGTTAGGCACCCATCATCCCTCTGTGTCCACAGGGGATGATTCTAGAACCCGTGGGTACCAAAGCCTGTGGGTGCTCGAATCCTTTCCATGAAACAGTTCAGTGCTTGCCTGGAGCCTGCACGCAGTCCCCCACATTTTTTAACCCATCCTGGATGACTTCGCAGTTGTTCTGCTGTTTGGTAAAGAGAATCATGACTAGGAAAAATGTTGGCACATGCTCAGTACAGACCCAACCCCCCCGCTATTTGTGATCATTCATTGGCTAAATCTTCACACGCACAACACATGGATACAGATGGCTGACCGAAGTGGGCTGAGGACCTTCCCAGCACCAGAGAGACTTCAGGTTAGGTGACCCTGCTGCAAGGGACAGTGTCCTTGGTGTGGCTACTGGGGATGGGTTAGCAGGTGGTGAGGGAACTCTTGCTTGCCCCCTTTTCCTGCCAGTATAGGGAAAGGAAGGGGGTTTACAGAAGTGGCTTGTGAAGGAAGAAGTTGTAGGAAGTGGAAGGCCAAAGAGATCCAACATCCAGGGGGCGCTGAGACAGTAAATGCTGCCTGTCGTGTGGAACAAGAGAGCTGGCTGTGAGGCCAGATGCTGGGGTCTGACTCTGGGCTCTGACGGCGTTGCTTTTGTGATGTTTCCTGCAGCCGAGGCCGGAGGGTCCCACGCCTGCTCCCTGCAGGATGCTGGTGGTGCGTTTTCATTGCAGATACAGATCTGTGTTTTTCTTGATGCCTGCAGAGTATCTTGCAGCCTGCGTGTTGCTTTATTTAAGGAGGCAGCAGACCAGGAAAGATGTGTGTCAGGAGTGATGCAGATGGTAAAATACTTCACCCCTTAAAAAGCAAGACCAAGCATTTCAAATGGACTTAGACATTCAAGGGTAGACAGCCACCATCTGCCACCACATCAGTACCTACAGTGACATTCTGGGGTGCCTGGGTGCGTGAGTGGGAGGATCTGCAGCAGGAAGAAACCCCACTCGCAGGTAGAGTGGACTCCGCTTTTCTGCAGGAGGCTTTTTCTGAATAAGACTGTTTTGATCCCCTGGAACAAAACTTTGGAAAGGAAGTTCCCATTCTTTGTTTTCTTTTCTTTTCTGCAAACAAAACTTTTCTGCACAGGCATGGGCTGCCCTCGCTCTGTTTGCAGGGGAGCCCCTCCACCATTCCTTCCGTTCTGGGAAGATGGTGGAAACAAGTAGGCATGACCAGCAGATGTTGTGGATGCCCCAGCCCTCCAGAAATAAATGCTGGCAGGAAACGAAGAGAGCTGGAGAGTCCCCATCCGTCATCGGCCCCGGAAGACCTCTTTCCGGGCTGGAGCCTGGCAGGGGCATCTGTGCCTCAGAACCTTTGCCTGAGAGCCAGGTGTCTGGGGGTAACACTCAGCAAGCCCCAAACCCAGATTAGGGTCTCCAGTCTGTGTTTGGCTTGTGGTCACCAGAGCCAAGTTCACCTCTGCACCTTGTTCTCTTAACTAGACAAGGGACCCAGTGTCTTCAGGAGGTGGGGCAGCTCAGGCGGGGACTGCTTGGCCCTCAGCAGCAGGGCTAGTACGTAAGCTGCAGTGCTGAATGGGATGCCACAAAGCCTAGCAGGAAGGCGGCACAGAGGAGGCGAACCCCACTCCTTGCCAGCTCTGCAGCTTACTTCAGAAGTGTAAGGTTTGTTTTAAATGTTTAGAATGGGCTGCTTTTCTTTTGGAGATTACTAGGCATCTTTCTTGTCCTTTCTCCTTTGAGTTAAAGGCATACATGGATGCAGGTGTGTACCTGTGTGCATGTGTGTACCTGTTTATGTGCATGCAAGTGTGTACCTGTGTGCACATGCAGGTGTGGACCTGTTTCTGTGCATGCAGGTGTGTACATGTGTGTGTGCAGGTATAGACCTGTGTGCGTGCAGGTATAGACCTGTGTGTGCGTGTGCAGGTATGGACCTGTTTCTGTGCATGCAGGTGTATACATGTGTGTGCACGAGCAGGTGTGGGCCTGTGGATGTTGCTGGTGATTGAAGCTGGGGCTTCCCACGTGGTAGGCAAGTGCCCTACCTTCATCACTGATCTACGTATGGCTCCTGACCCCTGAATCAAAGCTTCTTCAAGGAACATAGAGGAAACATCTGCCTTTAACTTTCAGATCCATGCACGGAAACTCGGACACTGATCTGAGATCTAGGGGGACAGGTAGGAGCAGGAGCTAAGTCACTGAGCTTGGAAAGCCAGCTTGTCAGATGAGAAGCAAGTCATCGAGTGTGAGTTCAAATTACAACCAGAGTCATTTTCTAAAGCACACGGTATTTCCTTGTGCAGGTCACTTTTCACGTTGAAGAGCTCCACGTGCTCTTCTCTTTCCACTGACCATTCTTGAAGGCCTCGAAGAAAAAGCATGTAGGAAAAAGAGGCTCTAGGGTCAGTACAGTAGATAGGCTTTACTTTCTGCTTCCCAGAGTTGCTCCTGGAGGCCAGAGTTTGTGTAATGTAAGGAAAATGGTTAACCTTGTCTACACACATGAAATCGTATCATTTTACAGATTATATCCACAACATGTCCCTGATGACAGTGGCCACAGACAAGCTGGGAGGACCTCCCTGGGTGTCACATCCTTGGTTTCTTAATGGTAGTTAGAGAGTTGCTTCAGAAAGTCACTTAGCCTGCTCACAGCAGTGGCCAGATTGGACCATGCGGAAGGCTATGCAGATGGCCAATGAGCACACAGAGAGGGGTGCTGTACTTCAGATTATTAAGAAAATGTAAACAAAACCACAGTGGGCCCCCAAGTCACCCATCAGGACGGCTGTTACGGACAAAATGAAATCCAGTGTTGGTGAGGGCGTGGGTTAGCTGCGCCCCTATGCTTTGCTGGTAGAAGTGTAGCATCCACTACAGGAAATGCTGCAGTGTTCCTCAAAAAATTAATCATGGATCGACTGTACGATCCAGCTGTCCCACTTCTGGGATTATATCCCAAAGGCTGAAGCAGATGGTACTCACACACCATGTTCACAGTGGGTGGTGGCTGTGTGGTCCCAGTGGTTGCATCAGGACCTGGGTCTCCGGATGTCCATATTTAGGCTTTGTGCAGAATGCAGTGATGCAGGAATGGCGGGGGAGCCCTGAGGCCAAGGACCTCGGGCTGCGCTGTGCATTGACCTCTGCACCCTGCGCTCCCCAAAGCTCCCTCCACCTGCCTCCATCCCTCCTTGTCTGGTCCTGGAGCTGCACAGCCCTCACTCATAGCCATAGGAGGCTGCCCTTTGTTTTTTTCCTCTAATGTGCCTCATAATTTTTTAATTAAAAACATAATTATAGGGGCTGGGGATTTAGCTCAGCAGCATAAGCGCCTGCCTTGCAAGCAGGCAGTCATGAGTTCGATCCCTGGTACTGATAAAAACAAAAAAGACAAACCCCCCCCCCATAATTATAGAAAAATACGCATAGCATGAAGTTTACCATCCTACCTATGTTCGTGGGTACAGTTTGGTGCCTTCAGGTACATTTGTGTTATGCTTCCACCATGAATCCATCCCCAGAACCCTTCACCTTGCAAACTGAAGCTGTGTCCCAAGACTGCACAGCTCCCCCGCCGCTGCCCACCCCAGGCCCTGGCAGTCACCGCACTACTGCCTGACTGTGGATTTCACTCCCTGTAGAGGTGGAACCAGTGTGCGTCGTTTCATAGCTGGCTTCTTTGACTCAGCACTGTGACCCAGGGTGCATCCAGCAGCAGCCTGAGCAGGAAATCCTGCCTTTCAGGGCTGGAGCATAGTCTCTTGCCCGCTTGTTTGTGGGTTCTACCCGACATGCTTGCCTACCCATCTGGAACCCCGCTTTCTGATTTGGGATCCACATATGGGTTCTGTGCTCAGCACTTGGAGGAACCAGCAGACCATTTCATGCAGTGACCAGTCAGGGTCCAGGTCCTTCCCCCAGCAGGACACAGGGTTCTGATTTCTCCACACTTTCACCAATGCTGACCTGCTGGATTCCCCACAGTTGTCCTGCTGGGTTTGAGGAGTCACCATTTCTTTCTAAAATCAACATCCAGCCCAGGTGGTCTGAAACCCGATAGGACTGGAGTCCAGCGTTGCCAAGCTGTGCAGTCCTTGCTGTCTTGGGGCACCTGTGTGTGCGTGTGTGTGTGTGTGTGTGTGTGTGTGTGTGTGCGCGCGCGCGCATGTACACGTGCCCACATATCACAGTGCTTGGCACAGACCTGGCTCCACATGCGTCCTGGCGGTGCTGGTGACCTCCGTGCTGCTCCCTATCTCTCATGAGCCCCTTGGGGTGAGTGGGGGAGCCCTGTGTGCCGGTCTCCCAGAAAGACAATAGTCCCTGAGGCTGTCTGTCTCCCGGCCGCAGAACCATGACCACACCTGCATAGCCTGTCGCATCATCTACCGCTCAGACGAGCACCACCCTCCACTGCTGCCCCCGAAGGCCGACCTGACTGTGGGCCTGCATGGCGAGTGGGTGAGCCAGCGCTGCGAGGTGCGCCCCGAAGTCCTCTTCCTCACGCGTCACTTCATCTTCCATGACAACAACCACACCTGGGAGGGCCACTACTACCACTACTCGGATCCCGTGTGCAAGCACCCTACCTTCACCATTTACGCCCGAGGCCGCTACAGTCATGGGGTGCTGTCCTCCAGGGTCGTGGGCGGCACGGAGTTTGTGTTCAAAGGTAGGCCATGGCCCTGGGGAGCACCCTGGTGCAGTTTGGGGACACTGCAGAGCAGAGCCGAGGGACGGGGCTTCTCTTCTACCTGGATGCAGTGGCGAGAGCAGGGAGTAAGTTCTGCCACTCTGCTCCTTGGAAACCCCAAGATCCCCTGCCTCAGTGAAACCTGGGATCTCTGCCTGCTGCCTTAGACATCACGGGGCCCATGCCATGCAGGCAGCAGGATACCCAACCTCTGGCATCTGGGTGCTTCTGATGGCCACAGCAGCTCGCACCCACGTGCTTCCTAGTGGGAGGAGCAGGTGTTAGTGTCTCCTAGGGGCTCAGAGTCCTCTTCCCACCCTGAGGTTGCTCTGCCCTTGAGAGGGTGTCACAGGCAGGGCCGGGGAATCCTGACAGGAAGATTTCCCACCTGGTGCTCACAGGCCGGGGCAGAGCACCCTGTCTTCAGAAGGTGGGCCTGCTACAGGTTTTGCTTTGTTCTTAAGTTTGAGCATCTTCAAGAACTAGTTTCAGCCTTGTCACACCAAGCAGTGAGGGACACCCACAGCCCCGGGGTGACTCCATTCCAGCCAGGAGGACACCTCTGTCGATATAGAGAAACCTGAGAGCCTGGAGCCCTCCTGTTGAGGCGGTGGCCCTGGTCCTGGGTCCTGTGTCCAGAAGGGGGCAAGTTCTAGCGCAGCCAGCCAGGCGCAGTGTGTGATGTGTGCAGTGTGGCCTCCTGGGGGACCTTACAGAGGGCAGCAGTGGAGGGTGGTGCTCGTCTGAGCAGTGTGTGATGTGTGCAGTGTGGCCTCTTGGGGGACCTTACAGAGTCCCGAACGCAGTGCTGAGGTGCTGGCCTTAGTCCGAGTGTGAGCAGCATGACATGCGTGTCAGAGGAAGCACACTGTGACAGAACCGGTGTGTTAGTTAGCTGCCCCCACACCAGCTTGGATTTCTGTTCCCTCATGTTTTTTTGCTTACAACATATTTGAGATGCCTGAGTCATGTGCTGGGATTGATTTGTGAGAATGCTAACTGGCCGAGATACTTGGCAGCAAAACTTTTAGACACTTTAAATCCTTTTCATGAGATACAAATTCCAGTTTCTGCTGCATAACTTTGCATCCTAGAGAGTCATCACGGTGTGCAGTGTGGGCAGCAGCATGGTCCCCTGGCATTTGCGGGGAGTGACCTCGCTTCCTAGGGAGGTCCTCGAATGGGGCAGAGTTCAGCAGACAAATCCCCCTTGCGCACATCTCCAGTGTGCGTGCTGTGTGCTGTGAGTCACGTGGAGATGGCAGTGTCACCTCTGTAAACAGTTCCACTGTGCTGTAGGGAGTAAACAAGCAGAGTCTCGCAGGTTCAGAGCAAACTAGCTTGCTTTCCCACAGCCTTCCTCATCTCTGGTTGTTGGGTCCTCTGATGTGGGGCCCACAGATGCAGACAGACAACTAATGGTGTCAGGGGCTGCCACTCCCAGGGACTCCTGTGACCAGCAGGGTGGGTGGGCAGGATGGCTGTGAAGGCAGCCATGGTGAGACAGAGTCCTCCGCTTTATTGTCCTCCAGTTTCTCCCTTGGAGTCATGAGGTCTCCTTTGTCCTCCACAGTGAATCACATGAAGGTCACCCCCATGGACGCGGCCACGGCCTCGCTCCTCAATGTCTTCAACGGGAACGAGTGCGGGGCCGAGGGCTCCTGGCAGGTGGGTGTGCAGCAGGATGTCACGCACACCAACGGCTGCATGGCGCTGGGCATCAAGCTGCCCCACACAGAGTATGAGATCTTCAAGATGGAGCAGGATGCCCGGGGGCGCTATCTGCTCTTCAATGGCCAGCGGCCAAGCGACGGGTCTAGCCCAGACCGGCCGGAGAAGAGGGCCACGTCCTACCAGATGCCCCTGGTCCAGTGCGCCTCCTCCTTGCCCAGAGCTGAGGACCTGTCTGCTGATGGTGGGGGCGAGCTGCACGGCCGGGCACCAGGAACAAGAGCCTGGCCCCTGCTGCTGGCCGCCCTTGCCTGCTTCCTGACTCTGCCGCTCTGGGGCGGGCCCAGCTAGAGGTTTTTAGGAAGTTCTATTTTTCTGAACTAGGATTCCTTACCATGTACAGATTTTCTTTATGAAAAGAAAAGACACTGATTCTTTTGATGCACTTGAATGCTCCTTTTCCCCTCTCCCTCCCTGCCCGTTTGAAGTCTCTGCTTTGAACTCTGTCCAGCCTGATCCCTGGCCCCAGCGAGTTTGCAACAGTAATTGCACTTTAAGTCCTCGGAGTTTCTGCTGGTGTGTTTGGTGGAGGCAGTGGGGGTGAGCGCTGGGTCCTCTTATTTCTGTCCTCCTAAACATTTGATTTCTGAGTTGGGCTTAGAAGAGCCTTTGCCAAGCTGTAACCTTTCCTGCGCGTTGACTGCAATTGCCCCCCGCCCAACCCTCCTCAGAGATGTCTCCGAGGTTTATGTCCTCGAATCGAATCGGTGCACAGCTGGTTTGGGACTGCGATCAAGGCCTTGCACTGACACACAGAAGATGTGGGTGTAGATATGTACAGAGGAGGGGGCGTGAGGTTCAGCTGGATTTCTTTACAGAAACGGGAGACCATCGAAACTTTCAGAAGTGCTGCAAGGAAAAGTGTAATTAAAGTTCCAAAGTAATTTAAACTACTTTTACATCATTGGTTTGTGGTTGTTGATGAGATTTTTGCTGTTTGCTGGTCTGGGGGGGACAAGTCTTGAGCAGCTTCTTCTTTTACCTTCTCAGCAGACCGGGTGGTGCAAGAGCAGAAGGGTGCTGTCATGAGTGCAGAACAGCGGCCGCACAGGGCCCACTGTGGGCATCCGGTGCAGTAGAAGTAGACTGGAGGGGCCCACTCATTGCCCAGTTGCCTTTGGGGGGCCAAGTCCTGGCTCCCCGAGTAGTTGGGGTGGGGGAGGAGAGATTCCAGCTCCAGCGTCTCTGCTGTCATTGCACCTTGGTGTGCAGCTTGACTCAGTTTCCCTCCTGCCTTGACTTGATGGTGTCCTGACCTCGAGCTCCAGGGCTGCCATTTGGAGTCGGCTACCCAGAGGCACCGGAAGGGCGCGGCTCCTCTGGACGATTGGTAACGGTGCTCCCTGCTTACCAAGTGCCACTACTGGTAGAGACCAGGATGGGGAAGCAGGCAGTGACTGAGAACACGGATCCTCGGAGGCAGGTGTGGTCCGGGCAGAGCCATCCTGGGGGGAGAACTGCTTAGTGCGCAGGGTCAGGGCAGGGTTAAGTTATAGTTTCTGCACAGAGTACAAGCTTCACTTTCAGACTCTTCTGAGTTGTGGTGTGTACCAGAGGGGTTTATACCAAATGAAAACACTAATTTAGTATCTGCCAAGTTTAATAAACAGGTCAAAAATAATTTCGCAAAATGCATTTTATATTTGAATCTATTTAATACTGATACGCAGTTTATAGAAAATAATAAAATTGTGAAAAACTGAATCCACCACTAAAGAATACTTCTGTAGTTCATTGTAAGAGTAATGGGTTTATAGAGCTCACTGACACCCACCTGGACTTATCTGTCTGTAACTATCAGTGCATGCATACATCCATCCAAATACTTAGGGATGAACCTTTGCGCAGTGTGTTTGCATGTGCATATGTGTGTCTTGGGTAGTATGGAATGCACGATCACACCACCTTCCGGTACAATGAATCATCCCTGACAAGGGCCAAGAATCTATTCACCAATCACTGACACAGGCAGGGGCCTGTCGCTGAGACTTGACATCCGCATTCCATCTGATCCCAGGGAATGTTGGGTTAGCACTGGCATGGGTCTCTAAACTGAAGTCCCAGACACCCCATGGCAGTGGTCACAGTGACTTTCCATCACCTTGGAGAAACAGCCGTCCATCTCTGGCTCATGCAGGTTTGAGAGTCCAAGGTGCATCCTGTCTGGGGAAGGCAGGCTTAACCCTCCAATGTTCTAGAACAAGCTGTCTCACAGCACGATAGCAGGCATGCAGGAGTGGAGATTTTCTCTTGACTGGAGCAGGTGGTGCTGCCTGTGGATGCCAGGCTCAGAGCAGTGATGAAATGCAGGATGTTTCTGCAGACCTCCCTGGCCTGCTGCAACTGGGCATCTGAGCCCATCACTGTACAAGCACTGGGTGATTTACAAAGAGCAGAGGTTTATTTGGCTCATGGTTTTGGAGACAGAGAAACTCAAGGTCAAGAACCTGTGCCCTGGGCAGGGCCCAGTGCTGCTTCGGCCTGTAGCAGAAAGTGGGAAGATGAGCGACATGGGCCCGAGAGGCAAAGCATGGGGCCAGCTTGCTCTGTATCAGTCTGTCCTGGTGGTGACTGGTCCAGTTCCGAGAGGCTGGCACTCACTCCTTGGAGAATGCTGTTAGTCCATCCTCGGGGCTCCCAGCCAGGCCCAACTTCCTGACGACCATACTGAGCACTTAGCACCCAGCATGTGAACTTGAGAGACACAGGGGCCAAAGCTCCAGGCTTTCTTTCTTAAGGGGCAGTGTGCTGACCAGGGGATGGGTCAGAAAGCTGCTCTTTGTGACAGTAAAATTCAGATGTAATCAAGACTTAAGACAACATTCAGGCTGACTCTGGGTTCAAAAAGGAAATTCGTGGCTGAGGTGCCTTTGGAATGGGCTCTCCCACAAACAAAGCTCACATGGGATACTTCGGCTTCAGGTGGCAAATATCAAACACCTGAAGTCAGATTGAAGGAAGAGCGTCTTGGGACATGAGCCTTTGGCGGAAGTTTGTATGCTCTCACGTCTTCCCCTTCTCTTAGACCACTGTGGTGCCTTTGTGACCATTCTAGTACACTACTATACCAGCCCTGGGTCCCCACATGTCCAGGTGAACTTCATTTACATATATTCACAGACTGACCCTGCACAAGCACTCGATCCACCTATTATTTCTACCAGTGTTTGCAGTGAGGCAAAGTCCAGCCTCCTTTCCACCTGCAAGGTGTTGGTGTGAGCCGGGCCGAGGTCTGTTCTGCAGGTGCACAGTTTGTCTGCAGTTTGAGGACGGCGTGGCGCTGTGCTCCACAGAATAGGCTCCTGAGGAAGTCCAGGAGGAGCTCCCACTGCTCGCAGGATTATCTTCTAGGCTTGCTGTCCACCCTCACCCCTCCACTGCCCATGACTAGCAGTGTCTCCTGCTGTTCAGTGGGGTACTGCAGGTGACCCCAGGCTGGAGGAGCATGCAGCCAGAGCCATGGCTCTGCTCAGACAGTCCTTCCCACAGCTGTCCCTCTAGATCACTGGAACCACTTCCTCCTGACCCTTCTGGCCTGAAGTACAAAGGCTTCTCCTGCCACCAGCCCTGGAGCCTTGCACCAGCCCTGGGCAGTTTCCCTAAGCTCTGGTTGTACCTAATTTTGAGGGAATCTTTGGACAATCCCCTCTGGATGATAGTCTTTTGAGTTTTATTTTTTCTCATGTCTAAGTTTATTAGAGTGACCAGGTAAACACAAGCTAGAATCATCATTTCAGATGAGGGCTCAGTATTTCCATCACAGCAGATCGTGCCTGGTACCACACATCCCCCTGCCGGGAGGTGGCTCCTTCGGCAAGTGGGCACAGTCTCCAGTGCATGCCCTCAACACTGCCTTTCTCGCACCCACAGGCTGCGTGAGCGCACAGCAGGCCCACTCCTGGGCAGGATGGGTGGCAGGGGAGGGGGTACTGAACACTGGCCGATTGCTGGGATCCATGTGGCTGGGACAAGGAGCACTTTCTGTCTTCATAGGTGCCACTTGCCACATTGGGGAGGCCGGAAACTAGCTGGGTTTCCCTTTTTCTCCAAGCTGTTTTCTGTATCCCATTTTCTCTGTCTTCCTGCAGAGGACTTATAGAACAACATGCTTGTTTTACGTATGTGCTTATTTCAATAGGAAAACTCTCCCGCATCAAGACACGCCCAGTGTGAAAAGATAGTTTGTCTTTTTTGCTGTCTGCTGGACAGTGTGAATGTAGAACTTTCCCACTTGGCACCACTGGAACGTGACACCCACTGATATGAGTGGCTCCCCTTTCCCTCTCCCTAGGTCCTGGCAGCCAACATTCTCCTGTTTCTCAGTTTGACCCCTCTAGAGGTTGCACAGAACTGGAACTCGTAGCTCCCACCTCCTGTGTCTGGCTTGCTTCCTGTGGCAGAGCGTTTTCTGGGTTAACCCGTGTTGCCCTGTGTTCCAGGACCACCTCTGTGTTAAGGCTGGGCAATATCTCACCGGCTGTGCATGTTGTAGCCATCCAGTGGTTGGTTGCTTCTATGGCTTGGCTGCAAATAACGCTATGGTGAATATAGGAGAGCAGATATCTTTTTTCAATCGTGATTTGGGTTAGTTTGGGACCACACCCAGTATTAGGATTGATGATTCCATTTGGATTTGAGGGACTTTTATGCAGTCGTCTATATATCAGTGGCACTGTTTTATACTTCTGCCCGTAATGCACAAGAGTTCCGACGTCTCCACATTCTTTCCAGCACTCATCTAGTATTTTCTGGCAGTGGCCTCCCTCAGGGATATGAAGTAAAATCTCATTATGGCATTGATTTGCATTTCCCTGATATTGGGGATATTGACCCTCTTTTTTGTGTTCCTTTTGGTCATTTGTCTATATTTGGAGTAGTGTCTATTCAAAGGCTTTACTTATTTTTAAAATTGGATATTTTCCCCTGCTTTTGGGTTACTGTAGTTTCCTGTGTGTTGGAAACATAAATCTTTTATTAGATATTCGATTTGGAAATATTTTCTCCCCTGCAGGAATAAACTATCACAAGTATGAATGATTTGTAACACTGAAAACTGCAAAACATAAGGGAAAATTACTAAAGAAGTCACAGATAAATAGAGAGCCATCAGTTGTTCATGGAAAGCCTTGGCACTACAAAGACATCCGTATGACCAAAGGGATCCACGTAGGTGGCACCACCCCATTAAAACCCTAATGATATTCTAGCAGATATAGAAAACACAAACTCAAGAGTAGTATGGAACCACAAAGGATCTCAACCAGCAAAACAACCTTAAAAAAAGCAAACCTGCCCTCTTTGATTTCAAAATATGTTACAAAGCCATGGTTACCAAAACAATGCCACAGTGACTAAGACAGACATATAGACCAAGGAACAGAATGGAAAGTCCCAAAAAACCTATGCCTCGCCAACAAGTCTTCTAAAAGTCAGCCAAGAATACATATGCAGGAAGGACAAAGTAATCTACAAATAGTTTTGGGAAAGCTGGAAAACCACATGAAAAAATGAGACGAGATCTTTATCTTGCACCATACATGAAAAGGAACTCCAAATGGATCAAAGCTTTAATAGCAACCTGAACCTGTAAAATTCATAGAAGAAAACAAAAGAAAAAGCCTTGTGTGCTTGATATAAGGTCTGATTTCGTGGAGATGATCCCAAAAGCACAGACAACAAAAGAAAATGTAAAAGTATTTTACATAACACTGCATGCAGCAAAGAAAACAATCAACAGAGTGAAAAACAGACTATGGGCTGGGAGAAAATACCTAGGCACCATAAATCTGTTAAGGGGCTAATCTCCAAAGCACACAGCAACTGCTACAACTTAACAGCAAAAAACCAGCTAGCTGCTTTAAAAGTTGAACAATGGACTTCAGTAGACACCCCC